GGCTCGATCCCAGGACCCTGGGATCATGACCTGAGCTGAAGGCAGACGCTTAACGACTGAGCCACCCAGGCGCCCCTTATTTTTATTTTTTAAGATTTATTTTAGAGAGCTTGAGGAAGAGAGTGAGTGAGCATAAGTGGGAGGGGCAGAGGGAGGGAGATTCCCAAGAGTCTGTGCTGAGCGTGGAGCCGGACACGGGGCTTGATCTCATGACCCTGAGATCATGACCTGAGCTGAAACCAACAGTCAGACACTTAACTGACTGAGCCACCCAGGTGCCCCAAAAGATACAATTTTTAAACTAATTGTAACGATGGTAAATTTATCATCATGTGTGCAATTACTCAACAAGTTTGCTTTTTAGATCCTGAGTATGTTACCTTTCCCACAGTTATACTTTAAAAAATCATCTTTTCAATTGTAATCATAATTAGACTGAATGTCATTGAGCTAGAAGGAAAAAATGACTTCATGTTGCCAATGATATAAACTTGATATTTGGATTGTAGCATTGTATCGATTTCTTACCATTTTAGCTTTCTGGGGTGAGAACTTTATTTAACAAAGTGTAATTGTTTGACTTTTCAAAAAAGCAAGTTTGATGTTCTAACAGTTAACCTGTTTTTCTTGCCTTGTATTTTCCATTTCAGGAAACATCCCAGTTATCTGGATTCCCTGAGTATGTTAAAATAGTGGAAGTTGGACCTAGGGATGGATTGCAGAATGAAAAGGTAGTTTGATATTAGTTTTACACAGTTTATTTCAAATGCTAAATCATAATATTAAGATTCTAAAGACTTACATGGGTTTTATAGATTACATGATTATGTTTGTTCTCAATTGCTATTGAATTTATGCATCTTAAATACAATTTGCTTTTGTTAGGAAGTAATTTTCTATTTATGCTTCAATAGACTCTATACAAATTACTTATAAAATAATTTTAATGCTTTCATAGGTTATAGTTCCTACAGATATAAAAATTGAATTTATCAATCAACTTTCCCAAACTGGCTTGTCTGTAATAGAAGTGACCAGCTTTGTGTCCTCCAGATGGGTACCACAGGTATGTAAATCTGTAATTCCTTAACTGAATCTTTAATTAAACTTTTCCAAGATTTAGCAAATATGTGTGATATAAATTGTGATATTAACCTGACATTATTACTGATTTGCTATAATTTTACAAAATATTAGCCCATCACTGAGACATGATTAAAGAAAAACCCCTATCATGAAACATCTTCTAAAAAATTATTTGGAACTCTATCCTAAGCCTACCTGACTGTATGCTCCAATATAATGAGTAGATAAGGCACTTAAATAGCAATTTAGGAGCCTGCCATCCACTTACTATTTTACTGACCTCGTGAACAATCTGAATACCTTCAGATGCTTCAGTTTTTTTGTCTTTTAGAATGGAGAGGGAACAGGGGAGGGGCTGAGGGAGAGAGAATCTTAAGCAGGATCCACACTCAGCATGGGGCCAACACAGGGCTTGATCTCATGACCCTGAGATCACGACCTCAGCCAAAATCAAGAGTCAGTTTCTTAGTCAACTGACCCACCCAGGCACCCCTACTCTTTGCCTTTTTTTTTTTTTTTTTTAGCACTTAGATTTGCTAGAGAAATCTATCTGCCTATCATACACAAGGTAAAGGGAGCTGTCTAGAATCTTCTCTCTCTTTTTTAAAAGATTATTTATTTTAGAGAGAGGGAGAAAGAGAGAGCATGAGTGGGAGGGGCAGAGGCAGAGGGAGAGCAGACTCCATGCTAAGTATGGAGCCAGACTCGGGGCTTGATCTCAAGACCCTGAGATCATGACCTGAGCCAAAACCAAGAGTCGGATGCTTAACCAGCTGCACCACCCAGGTGCCCCTAGAATCTTCTCTTAAAAGAGGATAGAGCTTTACCTAGAGTTGACAGGCAGGTGGCAGCAATCATCACTTCTGAGACTTGGCTCTGGTCTTTGAAACGTGATTAGTGATTAGTAACCATTAAGTCCCTTTTCCTTCACTATCTAATACATGTTCTCATTCCTTGGATCCTTCTATCTCTCCCAAGCACTTAACTTCACTGATTACTTTCTCATCCCATTCCTTTGGTGCTGTTATTCTCAATAATCCTCCTTCATTTACACTCCCATTTGCTCTTTTTTTCTGTCATTTCATTACAAGTTTAAGGTTCCCCTAACATTCTGCCTTCAGTCATTTTCTCTGTGCTGTCTCCTTTGCCTATTCTTCCAACGTCAACAGTCACCTTAAAAGGATGACATATCTGTACTTCTGGTCCTGGCTTCTCTGATAAGCTTCAGCTGGATGTGCCACCAGTGTACCTCAAGCTCAGGTGGGTCAAAATCAAACTCCTTTCTGACCACCCTGCTTTATATAAATAGCTCATCAGTTCTCTTTGGAGTCCTGGACTTCAGTACTCAAAGATCTCTCTTCCATATCTAGTCAGTTACTGACACAAAAATTATTTTTCCTCAGCATAGCCTACATATGTATTTTCTTTTCAGTCCTATTGGTAACATTAGTAAAGCACACCCTTATTAGCCAATTATTGTGGTAGTCACTTAAATGATATTCATAAGATCTATTTCTCCTTTCCTTTTATATTTTGCCTGTTGCTTCTAAAATCTCCCAGAAATAACAGCCTTCTAAGTTCTTTATGTTTTTTTAAAGATTTTATTTATTTGAGAGAGAGTGAGAGAGCAGGGGCAAGTGGGAGGAGGTGCAAAGGTAGAGGGAGAAGCAGATTCCCTGCTGAGCACAGAGCCCGACATGGGTCTCGATCCCAGGACCTTGAGGTCATGTCCTGAGCCAAAGTCAGACACTTAGCTGACTGAGCCACCCAGGTGCCCCTCTAAGTTCTTCAGAGATTACCTTCTCCCCATTAAGAGAGTCTGGAAACTAGTCTGGTAGTCCAGGTCCTCTATACCTTAGCCTCTTCTTTCATTTCCAGCCTTAACTCTATTTCTCTACTTCATTTTGCTGAAGGTTCTGCCAAACCAAACTGCTTCTTGTTCCCTAATTACAAGTCCTGACTCTGTATCTAGATAGCACCTTACGTGTCCTTGCTTATGTAGATCTCAATTTCTGCATTGCTCTGCAGTTACAATAGGATGATGTAAAAAGGCTTAAAACAGTGAAGCCTTTTAATTGTAAGACCTGGGGAGCAACGGAAGCCACAATAGAATTAACAGTAATACATCACTTTTCACAGGGGCAGTTTTCAAATATCAGGGTTACTTTTAATTTTCCCAAAACAAAAATGTAACTTTCCTTCATCCCAGTTGTCACTGTTTATAATCATATATTTTTTGGTAAACATTTTTAAAATTACCTGTTTCCTAGACTATAAGAGTTATGGAAGGAGTGACCATGTTGGTCTTGTTCATCACTGTACCCCCTTGCTTAGTGCCTAGTAAGTAGGTGCTTAATAAGTAATTGTGAAATGAATAATGAAGCAATCAGCCTGAAACAATAATAATGCATACTTTCAACTTTTTGGTATGGACAACTGACTCTTAACTTTTGTTCAGGTATTTGGTCCTGTGTAATGAAGGCCACAAATCTTTTCCTTAGGAAGGCACAGATAGCTTTATGAGACTAGACATACTTCCTTGACATTGCCATTTTGCAAAATGGTTAGACATTGTTATTTTATGAGCTGTCATTAATTTTAAAAGAATGTGAGACCCTTTTACCATATTTAAGTCTTCATGAAATTGCCTTTGTTTGATTCAGTTAGTGCTCGTTTCACAAATTCGATTATTGTTGGAGAGAAACTGGAAAGGCAGGTATAACTTGAGGGTAATGTCAGGAAAAAGGAGAGGTCTTGGTCATATTAACTGATGATCAATCAAACTTTTATTTCAGATAATATATTTTACTAGGTCCTCTTCAAGACATTACTTTCCCATGGTTTTATAAAGCTGCCTACAAAATATTCTTCTTTGCTAAAATTATGCCCATTGTCATATTCTATTATTACACAATATTAGAAAATCTTCGAGAGATTATTCTTGAAACTCATCTAGGACACATCCGGTGACATTTAGAAAGAAGAGGCTAGAACGCTTCCTGGAGGGCCATACTTCTTGTTTAGCTAGTTCAAAGATCAGATGGTCCAAGCAAAAGGGAAGGCAGTCCCTCTGTATGCAGTAATAGGAAAATGTTTTCTGGTCTCACATTAAGTAGGTATGTGATGGGACCATAAAATAAGATGATTTATTCTGGGCTTGGTCTGGAGGTGAATTCAGGACTTAAACAATTGAGATTTAATGAACACTTCCTAGGCTCGAAGTGTTATTGAATACATGATGGAATTCCCCTTGTAGCTCTTGGGGACGGCTATGGTGAGGAGGAAGTACCTCTGGTACTGTGTTTCTGTCTACATTCTGCCCTGAGCTTGAGTCCGTGGCTTTCTTTGAGCCTGGGAAGTCCTAGCAGTGCTGCCTAGAGCATGGGAGTGTTCATGGCAATAAGGCCCATGAATGGATCTCTGCACGTGAATGCCCAGAGTCCAGAGCACCTGGTTGCTGACCAGGGCTCCGTACTGTTACCTGAGGGAATGCCTGACTAGCAGATGGACTGACTGACGGGACTCCACACAAGTTACCTTCCTTCTTTTTGATAAAAAACCTTTTTCTTAAAGATTAAAGTGTGTTTAGTTTAAATATTGGATCAGGTAGGCCCAATTTGAATAATTGAAGATACTCATCCTTCAAATACTAAAGATACGTTACATATTTCACTTTTAATTTTCATGTGGTTACATGCATTCCAAACCAAAAAAAAAAACCGTTTTAAATAAATCACAAATCCAGGGGTGCCTGGGTGACTCAGTTAAACATCTGCCTTTGGCTC